GGCATGACCCAGGTCGCGAGCCCGTGGGCCGTCTGTGGCCTGGGGGAAGTGAGGGAAGAGAAGTACCCAGCAGCATCGAGCGGGCTGCTGTCCGCTGCTGAGACCTCCGCGGCCGTTGCCCTCCGTGGCAGCGTGGCCATGGGAAGCAGCGTGGAGAAGCTGAATGACAGCATCGCAGCGGCGCTTCTCAGAGAGGCGTCAACCGTCTTGACAAAACCCGACGCGTACAGGAACGTAGGGCATTTCATAGAATCTATGAACGGGAAAATCAAGCATCGAGCGGGCTGCTGTCCGCTGCTGAGACCTCCGCGGCCGTTGCCCTCCGTGGCAGCGTGGCCATGGGAAGCAGCGTGGAGAAGCTGAATGACAGCATCGCAGCGGCGCTTCTCAGAGAGGCGTCAACCGTCTTGACAAAACCCGACGCGTACAGGAACGTAGGGCATTTCATAGAATCTATGAACGGGAAAATCATTGAAATGGCAGCAAGGCCACGGATTCCACACGCTGACGAAGTAGTCAGGGATGAACTCGCACAAAACTTATCCAATATTATCCTGAGACATTCTATTGAAGAGGTTAGGAAGAAAAGACAGCCACGCCCCTATTCCGAAAATGGCTCAAGTACACAAGACGTTTTCACTGAGACTGCAAACGAGTTGCTTTTTAGTGTAATATATTTCACTTGCAAGAAGATGAATGACATAAGACAAGTGGAGGAGTGTTCTCCTCTCTTTTCCGAGGGCACAGAAGCAGAGAAAGTAACAAGAGGAGAAGGACGGTCAACACAGGCAGCAGCATGTGAGACTTTGCTCAGCCCCCTTGATGGCTCTGCCGTGGAGCCGTTTGGTACATCCTTCAGCACCACCACTAGCAAAGATCTTGGAAATGTCGCAGACGCTCAGAAAAGTAATGGGAAAGGTGCACACAGCAACGAAGGCGCCACTATGAACTCGGAGCCAGCCAGCAGAGCTTCGGGGCACAATGCGCTTGTTGCAAAAACATCTCCCAAGAAAAGATACCTGAAAAGAACCGCGCGGGACTGTTACAAAGCCCCAGGTCAGGGTAACAGCCATCAGAAGAGGAAAGACTGCAGATCGTTTTCAGACAGAGAAAACAGCTTCACACGCAATGAGTGCAGGCACGGTGTTCAGGAACAGCTGCCTTCCAGCGCCACCACGAGCGCAGAAGACCAGGCCAAGCACCAGTGCGATGCTGTGCTGAATAGCGATGTTCAGGTGAGCTTGTCTGTGTTAGGAAACCACGTCTTGCTTCCTTCCCAGCCCGTGCTAGAGGTGAAACATCCAAGGGACAAATATTGTATAACAGATTTTGCAGAAGAACTGGCAGAAACAGTCGTCTCTATGGCAACAGAAATAGCTGCCATTTGTCTTGAAAATTCCAATGGAAAGCAACCCTGGTTCTGCGCGTGGAAGAGAGGTAACGAGTATCTGGTCACCCAGAGTTTATCGTGCAGAGCCATGAAAAGGAAAAAGGAAACCCACACTAATGCTTCAGTGGTTCGGAAGCACCGCGCTCCTAGACTCAGTGAGATCAAGAGGAAAACCGACGAGCACCCTGAGCTGAAGGAGAGGCTGATGAACCGGGTGGTAGATGAGTCCATAAACCTCGAGGATGCACCAGATTCAGTCAATATCTTTGCGAACGAAGTGGCTGCCAAGATCATGAACCTCACCGAACTCTCCATGGTTGACAGCATCTGGCAAGGTCCGAACCACCCCAGGAACAGGCTGCACTGCGAAAGATGGAGCCGAGCCAAGGGCTCGAGCTGCGAGAGCATACCGGAGGAGGACTCGGGTTCCAAAGCCTCCTTCCACACCCTCGGCCTAGTGAACGCCCTCGGTCAGCCCGTGAGCCAGGCGAGCTCTGTCTCAAAGCAGTCTAGCTGTGAGAGCATCACGGATGAGTTTTCAAGGTTTATGGTGAACCAGATGGAGAACGAAGGAAGAGGGTTTGATTTGTTACTGGATTACTACGCAGGAAAAAACGCAAACACCATCTTAACTTCTGCTTTGCAACAGGTGGCCAAGAAAAACGGTCATCTTAACGTGAGGCCGAGTTGCCCGTCCAAACAGTCCAGCACAGAAAGCATAACAGAAGAATTTTATAGGTATATGCTGAGGGAAATAGAAAAGGAAAATAAAGAACACTTGTCCTCCCCTCGGAATTCGAAGGAGTGGTGTGGCAGCTTGCTGCCACCCTCTCTACGATCACCTTTTTGCTTCAGGCAGTCGTCTGTGCCTGACAGCAGGTGGTCCGGCTCGAGGCTGACGGTGAATGTCCCAGTTAAGGCGAATTCATTGGATGGGTTTGCCCACCACCACCGAGACTCCTTAAGCGTACAGCCCGTCAGCACCGGGGCTTCCTCGGGCCTGTGCAAGTCTGACTCGTGCCTGTACCAGAGGTGCAAGACTGACCAGGTAACAGACATGCTGATCCACGAGACGTGGGCGAGCTCCATCGAATCTCTCATGCGCAAGAACAAAATCATCACCAGTGGGGCGGAGGCAGAGCAGTTTCACAGCGACTCCCCGCCGCACGTGGAACAGTATGCAAACAGGCTGGCTGCAAACATTGTCGAAAGTGGCAAAAATTTAATTGTTGTCCAGCAGGATTCCTTTGATTATGGAAGCCGAGAACACGTGCTGGAAAGCAAACACCCCCAAAGCACGACTCAGCTTCAGTCAAAAGCCAAAAAGGATGGAGAAAATTTGGAGGAGAAAAGAGAGATCCTGCAGAGCCCTGGGTGCCTCCCGCTGGGTCAGCTCAGGGAGGTGCCAGTAATTCAGATCGAAACCGATCAGCGCGACGAGCCGGACAAAGGCTCAGAGTCCTTCCCTTCACCTGGCCCTGCTGGAAAGGAGCATCAAGGCAAAGAAAAGCCTCCAGCAGCTTTTGATGGGAAACCCACGGTGGCCAGCCCGCTCCTGAATAGGTAAGTGACCAAACAGCAAGCCAGCACATTGCCTCGGTGCTGGTTTAGATTTCCTTGATAAAGGAAGAAGATAAGGGAAGCACTTTCAGAGAACTAAACAAGTCAAGTTCTGGCTACAGCTCTCTAATGGTGTAAAATCACCCAGTCGTACGGATCACAGTGCCAGGTTCTGGAACAAACTGACTCCGAGTATGACAATGCTGTGGCTCTGAGATTCAGAGCTAATACTGCACGGAGAAGTAAGCTTTCTCTCTACAGATATTTAAGCCTTCCATAGTCAGGACAGGAAAGATGAGCTTTCATGAAGGCAAAGTGTAAGCTCAGTGACACGACTGTCTCACCAAGTCTAGGCTGAAATAAAAATCTAAAAAATACATATCGTGCAGGTATGAAAGCGTCAGCACCAATTGCTTTGATCCACTCCTACAGCGTGAACTTACTTGCTAGGGTAGCTACAGGCACATAGACTCCAGGCAAAATATCAAGCAGACATAGAGCCAATTAGAAAAAAAGGAAAAAAAGCCATGCAGGCCTGGAAAAGAGGTCTTCAGCAAGGAGCAAGAGTTGTTTCTTGTACATAGGCAGCGCAACAGACCCATTCCCATCACAGATCCACAGAAACCCTTCCAGCCATCTGCTCACAAGGAGGGAACTGTCAGTTCGAGGCACAGCAAGTGCAAGATGTAACTGCACAATGAATCCAACAACCCCAAAATGCCAAGTAACAATGCCCACAAAGTCCTCTCACGTTTCAGCCAGAGCATTAGGTGTGGCCTGCCCTGCGTTAAACATCCAAACGACGGCACTGGCAAGCCATGCCCCCTGCTCAGGGCCCTCCATCACCGGGGCTGTGGGCTCTGGAGGCGGGGGGCTCCGGGCACAGCCTGGGGGACCCTCCCTTGCCCCTGCGCAGGAGCCTGCACCACTCCCAGCATTGTCCCCCCGTCCTCAGAGCTCTAATTGCTGTTCTAGCCCTGTAGGGATATAATTAATTCTTTCTTATCATCCAAAAAGAGAGGGGGTTGGATTATTATACGCTTCTCTGCCTGCCTGTCAGAACAGTAAGCCTCACAAAGTCCATTTGGGCTCTGAAAATTTACCATAAATATAGGTTTTATTTTTGTTTGTGTGTGTTTGAAAAAAAAACATGTGCCCTATAAATGTGTGTGCGTGTGTGACCCAAGTGAAGCATGCAGAATTATGAAGCATTTTCCCCTAACCCTGCACTCTCTGAACTCAGCCCGGGCTCCACATTCAGCCTGGTTTCTGACTATCTGCTGCACCCCTTCTAAGAAAAAGAAATACTTTGTCCTTCCCTGACCTAAACATCAAAGATCCCAAGAAGGCTGAGAGTCAGTAGTGATTCAAACCCACAGCACTCCCCTGCATTGGCCTCCAGACCTCTTTTGGATGTACAATGGTAACGGTAGCAAACCCTGGCAAGAAACTTATTGACCCGTCACAAGACAGGGGTCTAGTCCAATGTGTATTCCCAAGAAACGCTGTATGACAGCGCTGGGAATACACGTCGGACTAGAGCCCGTGCACCACGTAGCTCAGCTGCTGAAGTGCAGGGAATGAAGTTAAGCAACAGACCTGTGCTGTGAGCAGTTCTTCTCGGGCACGTAGTCTCATTGTCAGAGTTAAACCTTTCACGCATTTTTCAGTACAAGGCTTAATTGGTTCTGTGTTTGTTTCTAGCAGCGGTATGCAGATGCTTTTTTTAAGAGCCTCTCAGGCCACACATTCAGCTGGATTTCCTGTACAAATTCTAAGCTTGGGCAACCTCTTGCATCTGTACGGTTTTGCAGCTCGGTTGATTTCAGTGAGCAGCAGTTTGCTTGCCCATGTTACAGTCTCAATTCCTTATTGCCCTACCAGCAACAGTCCCCAGAGCAGACCGGAACCTGAAGTCATCGGGGAGACAAAAATGGGTGAGGAGTTTCCAAACCATCTCAGCAGCAGTGAAGAAAGCACCGGCAGCTGGTCCCAGCTGGCCAACGACGAGGACAACCCCGACGACACGAGTAGCTACCTGCAACTGAGCGAGCGATCCCTGAGGTACCTGTGATGTCTGTTCTCAGTACACAGAATGGTCTAGTCAACCAAGGCAATTATTCCACTACTATGCATCAAGAATGAGGGAAAAGAGCTCGATATTTGTTCAGAATACTGTAAAAAATGCCTAATGGCAGAGTTGATTTCTGTTTTTTAAAAAAAGGCAAAAGAATTGGCCACATTCTCCTTCTCAGATAGATCATTTTATTATGGGTGAGCAGCTAGATTCATACAGAGAAAAAGCTTCCTGGCATCTCTCAGATGCCTCTGTCCTACAGCAAAAGGGCCATTGGACAAGCTAATTGCTACAATCTTTCCTTCAATTTTTTTTTGCTACTCTTTGCATAATTCTCGTTTGGCATCTCCTTAGCTGAGATTGATGAGACCGCTATTCCCACCAGGTGCCTGGGCACAGAGAGCAGAGGGAGAGCCCTGATCTGCCTGGGGGAGCAGATCAACAGAGGATCACTAAGTTCCCCTCAGCAGGCATAAATCACAGAGCTCCCCTTGCAATGTGCTGCTTTTTGTTCCTATCTGAGTCAGGACACATGTCTAAAAACCTTATCCAGTCCTTAGAGTTTATATCAAGCGACGTTAGTTTGACTTCTGCCCTTTCATGACTTCAAATTGAGCAAGGTTTTTTTCTTCACACGCCCTTGGATTAGGTTTTAAAATATTGTTGAGTAATTTCATCTTTCTCCTGGGTATTAAGAGGACAAGGAGGGGAGACAGTGTGGTAATGAAGCAGGGAAGAGCAAGAGTCTCCGTCAGAGAGCGCTGCTGGCTGGCTGATAAAACACTGAACGAAACTTGTCTGTCAGCGTGGGTGAGCATTCATCCCACTATTACAGCATCAACCTTTAACAAAGTCCTTGGTCTGAGAGAGCTAATGCATCGTGCCTTTTGGCTCTGCACTGAAACAGAAATTGCAAGTGTGAGCGCATGGTGTGCGACACTGACTCAGAAAAACCTGGCGGGGAACGGAACTGCCTGATCAGTCCTGCCAACGCAAGGAAAAATACTCTCAGTTGCTTTTAGTTGCCACACAGAACTTGTTTGTGCTGATTGTCTCGCAGGCAGCAGATTCACTACCTGTTCACGACACTATTAAAATATCCACAGGAAGATTCGCGGTCAGTTTTATAACAGTGTTAAAAAGTGAACTGGTGATAGTTTTTTCCAAATATTCTCAGATATAATACTTTATTCCCATGAAAAAGCCAAGTAGTACTTCTACGTGTTACTAGTCCCAGTGGCTTTAATTAGCACCTCAGTCTTTCAGAGTAGTCAGAAACATGAGGGGCTGTCACTGTGCCTGTGGGTCCCGCCAGGTCCGCGGCAGTATTTGGAGTGTGATGTAAAACACCAACACCGCTGCTGGTCACAGACAGGTAAGTCGTGCCCTGGGCAGCCCGAGGCCTCGCTGCAAGTCGCCACGGCCAGAGGTCTCTGAATCTCTGCAGGTTTTATCCAGGACATCACTGCACCTCATAGCCCTTCTTTCCAAGGACTCATGCACACCATTTTTTCGTTTGAGGCCAATGTTCATTCCATAAGTCATTCACAAGAAAATAGTCCACTTTTTTTTTTCCCCTCCAGTTTACAGCATCATTGGATACATGCTCCATCTAGAAATATCTGAATAAAAGCCTCATCATTTTGAGCAGATTAGTGCGCTTCATTCTGGGAACCACTTGCTGAGCACAACTGATTTTGTGAAGCTCTGCATAACAGGGAGCAGCCTCCTTACTTTGCTTTGCGCCTAAATAAATTAAAAAAAGATGTATGGAGACATGTTCAGTGCAGCTTGGCACTAATATTTAAACTTTTGCTTTGTCAGCAATGGCAACAGCAGTACAACTAGCAGTCTTGGCATTATGGACCTGGAAATTTATCAGGAGAACGTGCCATCTTCTCCTATGATTAAGTAAGTAGTCACGAAAGTGAGACTTGGTGTTCAGTCTAATTTTAACTGCAAATTGTTCATGCCATCTAAAATGTGCCAAGCCCTGCTTTGCACCTACTGCCGAGCCGGCCGTCAGGTTCAGAAAGAAGCCTGTGCAGGGCGGCAGCACTCGGCAGGGAACAATTACAGCAAAGGCCACCCAGGGGGACCAAGAGGGTCAAGCAAATAAGGATCAATTAAAGTCAAAGGGAAAAAATACGACAGCATTCTGTCCAAGAATAGCAATAACTTGGTCCAAAGTACATCTCGCATGTTTCTACTGAGCACGCAGTTAAATTGTCAAGAGATGTGCAAGTACCTGCCTAAAGACCTGGAGAGGGCTGTGACCGGCCAGCCCGTGTCACGATGCCGCCGGGGCACGAGCGCACAGACCGAGCATCACATGCTGAACATGGCAATTCTGTGAACTGCCCTGCTTTCGAGAGGCTTCTTTTTAAGAAACCTGGGCATTCATATTTCTGTAGCGTTAGGTGCCTTCTCTCTCAGCTGCTGCTCTGGAGAGTAACCTTGTTAAACCGTTCCCACCGTGGCAGCAGGCAGCGAGAGCTCCTTCACGCGCTCCTGCAGGTGACCCCGCTGCTTTACATTTCCGAGAGGTGAAGGGATAAATTTCCAACTCCCCTCCTTAGCTTCCAGGGGCTGTTCTCAGGTGTCAGGCAATAGGCGTGAGACATTTGTACTTCCACTGAGACATTTGTACTTCCACAAGTCGAGGCCAAGGCAGGGACCGCGTCTGCTGCTCCAACAGGAAACTGGAGGAAATCAGGTGGGAAGGAAGCCGTTAGGCACCCGTGGTTCTAAGGACAAACCACACGTTACATGCTGCCGTTCTTTCCTCTCCCATCTGGCAGTAACCACTGTGTGAGCACATATAACCTTGATTCTCCGGAGTCTTGACCGAGATTCTGAAATCCTGGGATCGAGGGTGGTGGAGATTAGCATTCCCCCATGCTAGAAATGAAATCTCACGCTTACAGCATTCCCCTGGTCGAGGGCAGAGTCAGGCACTCTGGGAACGCGTCCAGCGAGCGTTGTCCCTCCAGGAGCGAGGAACGGCCGTGACACGAGGAGGGGGTCTGCAGTGTCCTGCCACACGTGCATGAGCAAGGACGGGGTGTTCAGAAATGGAAGCTGGAGCAGCAACCACGTGCCCAGAACTCGTTTCCAGTAGTTTAAGAAAGGCATTAGATAAGAAGTTCAGATCTCTGGAGATTCTTGCAAGGTGTAACCAGAATTTGTTTATCCAGTCAGTAGTAGATCTAAAGCCAGCAGTAGCTGAAGTCATGGAGAGTTACGGTTGCATTTAACTGTGACAGACACAAGTAGAAAGCAGGACTGGGAAAGGTTCATCCCGGGCGTGCAGCACTGCAGAACTCACACCCTGGAAGTTCAGTATTTCCGCCCAGGTGATGAGGCTTGTCGTGTCTACCATGATGTCATTTGCTTGTCGTTATGTAAACTGCAAAGATACACAAATCCCAATGAGATGTAATACACGGTGCAACCTGTACAAGTACTTCATCCTGTTATGAAACAATGTCATGACTCCCATGGCTTTTCCTGATTTACAGATTAAAGAAATGAAATATATTCGGCATTTTATTATTTCATCCTATGTAACTTTTTTCTTGCAGTTTTCTAGGTCATACATTGAGGGAGAAGTTTATCCATCATGAAGCAATGTTGTAGGCTGTTCCTAAATATCACTAATAAGCTTTATTGTTGTTTGTTTCAAGTGAATTAGTAGAAGAAAAGGTTTTCCTTAAAGAACAGACAGAAAATACGGAGGGTAAGTTGAGCCGTATCAATTAAAGCATGCGATTTGAAATTAGCGCAAGTAATTGCACAGTAACTGTTGGGATTATTTTTCCAGAAAGTACCTCGGCGCTTTCAGTGGGAACAGCTAATTGTCAGAAGGACCTACTCGTGATAAACTTTGATCTGGAGCCAGAGTGCCCTGACGCAGAGCTGCGAGCCACCCTGCAGTGGATCGCCGCTTCCGAACTTGGAATTCCAACCATCTATTTTAAGAAATCTCAGGAAAACAGAATTGAAAAGGTAGTATTAACAAATTTGAAAATATAGTATTCGCAGCATCGGGCATACAATTACTTCACTTTAATCACAGTAGCGGTTAGGATTGCTGAGCTTAAAAGCAGATACAAACCCACACTCGTCACAGCAAAACGGCAATGCCAGTGTTTGCAGAAAGAGGGAGAGGATTAAACGAGTCAGAATTTAAGGTATGTGAAATATTTAGTAGATTGTCTGTGGCAGAAGAAATCGTATCGCCGCAAGACCTTCTCCAAGGCCTCTGTAACGCGGTTCTTCTCTTTGGGGGGGTGTCAGTGAGGTGTGAAGTATCGATATCCAAGGCAGAATTAACAGAGGGTCCTCGATGCGGCTGTGTTTGAAGGGCTGCAGAGGGCTTACGTGGAGTTTAAGCAGGGAGCTCCAGAAAGAAAATCACTTGTGTGTGGATGTCACAAAGTTTTGCTCGAGTGGCAGCAAGAGCCAACTGTGACGCGAGACCCAAGTTGGACTTAAGCTCTCCAAGGTTTGAAATTCCTTAGTCCTTCTGCAGGGTCTGCCTCAATAATGCAGCCCCAATAGTGGAAAGAGCGTTACAAATCAGTATTTTGGTCTTTCGTGGGAAGATCATTTTGAGTAGCAGAGATATTGTTTGATTTTCTTGAGTGCGTGCATTTGGGAATCATAAACATAATTTAAAATGCATTCAGCAGCAACAGTCCAAATTGCATCTAATTAAAGAAGCAGCTGTCAGCTTTACCCATGTGCTTTGGCAAACAGTTAATTCAATTGCAAAAATACACTAGAGAATAATGAAGCACATCCTGCCTGTAACAGTGCTCTTGGAAATCGCGTGCCTATTAAATGTCATTAAAATACATATTAAAAGTTAGGCTTCGGTATGTAAATAGCAAACAGCTACACTAACTAGACACACAATATTTTCTTGTGTGGTTTAAAACTGGAAACACAGAAGGAGAAAGCTAATTAGATATTGATTGTGAAATTCAAAGAAATGAAAAGCTTTGATTTTCATTTATGTGCTTCAGTAAAAAATGGTACCAGATGTATGACACTGTGAAGCTCATTGTTAAGTACAAAGTGGACAAAATTCAGGATTTTTTACAGCTGCTTAAGGACATATTTAACCTCCAGTTTATATGGAGGTTAAAGAAGAATAAAAATCAAATATAGATACTCCCTGTGATCCAGCCACAATTGTGGCAAACGTCTTAATGTGACAGAAGTTTGCGCAGAATTCCCTCTCACCAGCACTATGTGAATATTTAAAATACTATGGGACGTACGTGTGAAAATACAGAAGTTTAAATATACATTAAAGTACAGCCGATGGTAATGAAGAGGGATTTTTTTTCTTTAAGATGGATAGTTGCACTTTCACTATTTTGATAGCGAGCTGTCGATAGCAGAGAAAGTTGTGATCCCTTGCCAGGCTCGCTTTCACTGCTCTAACTTTCACTGCAATGAATGAGAAATAATTGATGAGAACAGGAAATTTAGAAAAAGTCCTGCGATCTGACCAGTCTTTGGTGAGCTGTGGAACCTCAGAAACGCAGTTTTATAAGCAGAGAGGTCCTTTCTGTGGCCGCCTGAGGACTCGTCTCTGCTCCCACAGGCAGCCACACGCAGGCAGACGAGGGTCCAGGAGCATTTCGTGTGCCTTCCTTGAGCAAAACTTTAACCAAATCCTAAGCGCCTCTTGTTTTGGGTTTCTGTTTAGTTTTTAGATGTTGTGCAATTAGTTCAACGGAAGTCCTGGAAAGTGGGGGACATCTTCCACGCCGTGGTGCAGTACTGCAAGCTCATTGAGGAGGACAGAGTGGCGATGCCGAGCCTGTTCGACTGGCTCCTCGAGCTGGGCTAGGGGAGCTCTCCTCTGCAGCGCTTTTGCTTTCTTCCAGTTTAACTAAGCAGTGGTTTGTGTAACGCTCTGATCTCCGAACATCACTGAATAAAAGCGAGCAAAGAAATACAAACTCTACAGAAACAGCACCCCTGCACATGGAGCGAAGCGACGCTGCGGCGCGTTTTTCCTCCCGCGTCGGGAGGGACTCCCGAGTGTTGTGCTGTAGGATGGGCTGTACCGGGAGGGGATGGACTTTCAGCCTTCTGAATTAACGGGGTACACAGTAAAGGCTTGATCAAGTATCTAGTATGTTCCATTGTTTATCAATTTGATGAAATCAATCAGCTAGAACAGGATAGAACGCTAACACTTAGTTTTAAAACACCAGTATTGGTACAGTTCAACTGATAGAACCAGGGTTCGTTCCAGGACACCTGGAGACACCCATGTCCCTAAATAAACAATTATTATAGCGTTTTTTAAAATCCCCATAGTCTGATGAGGGGAAAAACTTCTGAACACTTAACACCTTCTCAGTGAGACAACACCACAAAAAGCTGTTTGAAACACATTTTTGTTGCTTCCCCTGGGATTATTTCTCTTCTATAGCCGTTCCCAATTCACATCATCTTCTCAAGGAAGTAAAATCCTGTTTCTGCCCTCGCAGCCCTCACTCCCATTCCCAGAGGCAGGGCGGCTCCAGCCCCAGCACCCCGAGCGCACTTCTGCTGGTTGGGACAGCAGGTTTGTGAGCCTGGGGCCACCACGGACCTTGGGCGAGTCGTTTCACCTCTGTGCCTCAGTGTCCCTACCTGGAAAGAGGGAGCTGCGACAGGGCAATCGCTGCGCAAAGTGCTTCTATTTAAAGCACTTTGTAACATGCTACGTGTATCAGTTGAAAGCAGTGAAAAGAAAAAAAGCTATTTTAATTTCAGTTTAATCAAATAAGGTGAAAAAGCGCGTATCTGAAAGCAGCATCATCTCATCCTAATGGTGAATTTTTGCAGGTTGTGCGAAAGCAAAACGATTGTTTAAGTTTCAGCAGACATACTTATTTGGTTTGGATAGAAGCATTTGAACTATTGCTACAGTCACTCGACAGTAACATTTCTGTGACTGTTTGATAGGACAGACTGTGGTATCGTCTTGCTGAGACGATCTGTCAGCACCATGCACTTACTGATACTTTCTCTTTCCTCTGCCAAAGAGACTGGGTCTGAATTGAAAGGTAAATAAGACTTACCACATCGCAGCTCTTCTGCGATTTGTTTCTTTGAAAATATTTCTCCTTCATCTCTGCCTACCCAAATAGTGTTAAAGAAAACCTGCCTGCTTTTCCCAATAAAATATTTAAGAGATGTTTTATTTTCCATATAACAGTATATGCTTCTGTAATATTTCTGGGGGGAAAAAAACCCAACCCTATCCTTTTGCACTAAATATTTTTGAAAATGTTGAAGTAGTTTTAAATAATTTATGAAAAAGAGCCATATTCTCAATTTTATCTTGAAAACCGTACCTAAACTTGCATGGTTGCACCGCAAATGGTTAGCAAATGAAAAATCTAAGGAGGAACATTAAACGACACGAGTAACCCCACAGCCACTCTGCAGCCCCACCGCACAGCGCAGCTCAGTTGGCCGCACGCCCCAAAGGTCACGGCGCCGCCGCTGCGCCCGCTCCTCGCAACGGCTGAACATCTGCAGCTCCTACTGAGGCGAGCAGCGACTCCGAACACTCGGCATTTCTGAGGCTGAACGTTCCAAAATGCACTGAGGATTGGAGACTTCAAGTGCTTTGTTAGAGTTAATATATGGGAAATTGTATTTATTTTTAAACCAAATGCAGTTCGTTGTCAGTATACAGTTTTTTTGCCGTGATAGAATAAATGTTTACTTATCCTACAAAGCACAAATACGATGACAGAGTTGTAACAGTGTGATGCAGTTTCTCTGTACAGTAGTTGTTCATGTTGCAACTTACTCAGAAATAAATTTATGTTATAATGTGTGTCCTCCTTGCCTTCCTAAAAAGTTCATGAATGTGCTGTGGCTTTTTCTGACCTGTTAAATAACATTTGCCTGCTGTCCCTGTAGCTTCTCAAAGCTCTGCTTCTGAATGAAAAATCTGACCTGAGGCAGAGGGACGGGGAGACAGAAGTACAGGAGTCTGTTCCGCTTGGTTAAGTTTGCACAGGTATTTGCTGCCCTGCTGCCTAGGCGTAAAAATGTGTCTGCTGCTAAACAGAAAAGGAAACCAACGCTTAACTGAGTAAATCAAAACACAACTTGCCCACCATTAAAAAAAAAAAAAAAAAGATATCTGGCTCATGGATACTGCGTGCTCCTCCCAGATCCAGGTGAAAAATAGAAAAGTGCAGCCAACCACAGAATACAGGATCTATTTCCCATCCATTCATTAACTAATCAGGAAATGCAAGTGATCACACAGAAGGAGCCCACAAAGAAATTCTCACAAAATGCCACTTTTAAAACAGGAGTGGCTATGAGTATCATCCTCCTCCTCTTTTCAGAGGAGGATCTGAATCTCAAGAGGAACAAAAAGCTTACAGCAAGAGCCCAAGTACACATCGTGTGCTTACATGGAAATTCTCGTCCTTCTCTTGTAAAGTATTTGTCTTTTTCCTGAGGAAGTTACACGATAGAAGTTAAGGGCTTCTTTCCCAGAAAAACAAACTTGTCTGTTCACAGAGGTATATGCTGGAAGGAGTCAGAGGTCCAAAGGACAAAAACAATGCAGCAAGTATGATTTCTCCCGTGGCAGCCCTTCCTGCAGCACGCTGCACGAGTCTCCCGAGGGAACCCTTTTCAATAAGGTTGTGGTGATTCATGTTTGCCAGCGTTCGGGATAATGTTGAAAGCCACAACCCAACCCAGCCACCCAGCAATTAAAGGAGCCACTTGGAGAGCGTCAGGTATGCAGGAGCCAAATGTTTTTGCACGATTAAAAAGGCACCAGACAGTAGAGCTAGAGCACACACAGAAGCTATTTTGGCTGCAGGGACTGAAGCGGAATTAGAGAAAGCTGCTACCAGAGGCACAGAACAGTTTGGGGATGACACATGTACGCAATGCACTCCTAACTCACCTCTTTGTAATGTGTAATAATCTACATATGGGTAAACCAAGGTGCAGAGAGCCTGACATCAAATAATTCGTACTCAAAGTTCTTAGGAGGCGCCAAGGTAACACCACTTCCAGCAATGCTGTGAGTCACACCAGATGCGAAACTATCTCACATTTGAGCAGGAGACCTGGGTAACTTAGCCTGAAAAGCAATTCCACTCACTCAGAGAATCTAAGGAGAGTCAGAAATAGAGCCCAGATGGCCTCCCAGCCCATTGCTCAGTCTGTGAAACCTCAACTTGCTGATTTGCATAAAAATAGGACAAGAGCTCAAAGCCAAAAGCTACTACAGATGTTCGAGATTCACTGAAGAATCACTAGTATATTTTAAGACAAAGAAGCATAAAGGAAAAGGCACCAGAAAACAATCCTACCTGAAAGATTAAGAAAAAAAAAATCTACTTCCTAATCTCAGTCCAAATAATTTATTTTGTGGTGGTTTCACAGCAAGTCAAATACCAGTAATTCTGGAGTAACACAGAGCTGCATCACCCTTCCCACCCCTCTCCATTTCGAATTACTGAGATAAACTTCTGGTATCACAAACCTTTGCACAAGACAACATGAAACACCACGAGCATTGCAGTAACAATGATACCAGACACACTGCCTCCTGAAAAAGAGATTTTAACCGATCTGCAGCACACAGTTCTCCTACAACACTTGAAACAACCAGGGTATTTGCCAAGGGAGAACAGGCACTTCTGGTTTTGCATTTACACACAAGGATGCTGGCGAGCATTAGAGATAGTCAGAACAGTTTAGCATTAGTAACTTCCAATGCGATTTAACAACACCTTGAAGCCAAGTCCATAACCACCAGAGACACACCAAATAAACAAAGTACCTTCATCCTCCATTGCACGCTCCCCTTCTTCCTTTCTCCTCTCAGCCCACACAGGTGCCTCACTCAGTCCGACCAGAGCAAAGAGTGCTCTGGACCCCTCTCCCGAGGCTGCAGGAAGGAGCCAGCAGGAAGGAGCCAGCAGGAAGGAGCCAGCAGCTCTGCTGCTCCTCCTTGCTCCCCCAGGAGCAGTTGGACCCCAGGATCTCTGCGGGGCTGAGCCCACCTTGGGACTGTTTGCCACTGCTGGCCAGAGCCTGGGCCACAGCTCATCACATCGGGGCAAATAATTTGCAGGATTTCCTCATCCACTTCTCAGTCATAAGGTCAAACGAACCTCACAGGTGATAATTGCTGGGCTGATAATTGCTGGCTCCACTACAGGCTGCCTTGTTAACCACTCAGGTACCAGCAGGAGGGCACAGGAACGCCCCCAGGTCAGGATGGCTAACAGGTGTCACAGGGATGGGAGGAGGAGGAGGATTGCCCCCACATTGCTTCAGGAGGGAATTAAGTGAGCAGAACCAAGATAAGCCAGTCATTGGCTCCATTTACACTGAATTTTTGTTAATCGCACCCCTAAGACAAAACGTCCCTTTCCAATTTTAGCCCCAAGACCAACCAAGGGCAATTGTGATGGTGCTGAGTCATAGGTGGACTTGATGACCTCAGAGGTCTTTTCCAGCCTCAACCATTCTGTGATTCTGTGACACATTGGAACTGCTACTGTATAGATATCCTCTGTCCTGTCATTATGGCATGCTCGCTTCTCAGCGTTACCCTGCCAGCACCTGACCCTGCGCAAGAGTGTAATAAACGTGGCATCTCATCTCACTGTGTGGACTGGACTTTGCACACCGGGTGAAGAATCCATTTTTGGGACAACAGTGATGCTTGCCTTCAAATCTTTTGGTGTGTAGAGCTTACTCATGCTGGCCATAACCCTTGGGCCAGGATTCAGAGTTGGAGTCACCACCCATAGTATTTTCTTCTACATCAGGAGAATAAGGAGTGGGAGGAATGGAAGGAGATGTGGGCAGGTGTGAAAGGGATGTTGCGTGGCATGCATGCAACAGTAAATAGCAGTGCAGTTCACAAATGGTTGCTGGTTTTCTCCAGAAATACCAAGTGGGACACTGGATATTGCAAGTAGAGAAACTGGTATTTTACCGCAATACTTTATCACTTGACAAAAAAAAATTAATACAGGAATACTCAGAGGAAGTGCACAACAACACCTCTTTCACACCTGAGAGTATTATAATGCTGTAATTTTTTTAATTAGAAGAGTTGCAAGTTAAAACACAAAACACACAAATAACACAAAGAAATGGAGCCATCCGACTGGATCCATTCACATTAATCGTGATATCTCTCAGGTGACTGAGATAACAGAGCCAGACTTTTCCTGGAGGTACCCAGTGAAGAGGCAACATGCACGAATTGAAATACAAGAAAATGTTCCATTTAAACGTAAGCAGAAATATGCTAACTTTTTTTTGCCATGAGAGTGACCAGACACTGAGCAGGTTGCCCAGTGGAACTGTGGAGTCTGTCGCTGGAGATATCCGAACCATGCCAGTCGAGGGCAGCCCGCTTGGCTGACGGGGTTTTGAGCAGGGGTGTTGCACTAGGCAATCTCCAGAGGTACTTTCCAACTTCTACTGTCCTGTGATTCCATATCTACCAGACATCTGCAAAGCCAAACCTATCAAAACCTAGGTAATTCTTCTACTTCAGCAAAGCCGAAGGTAAACAAGGGGGTGAAAGAAAACAGATCTGCAAGACTTGAGTTAATTGACTATGAAGCTCAGGGAACAGGCACATATCAAACTGGGTCTTGGCTTCTCTTCAGTCAGCGCCATATTCTGCAGGTGTTATCCTTGCTCCCTGGTAATAAACACACGTTGTGAAGCAATCGTGTAGCGGTATTGCACCATCCATCCATTTTTGTTAACGCCTACATCAACAATCTACTCAGAATGCCAAGGAGACAGAGAAGCAGCAAGAGGCAGCAGGACCTACAGCAATATTTTTAGCTGAGATCATCCTGCATCCCATAATTTGGTAGTTCAGTCAAAAGATTGAAGCAATCACAAATATCTCTTCTAGCTTTTCCTGACTATATTGTAAGTCACTGCTGGTACCTGCATTGGGGATACAGCCCCAGGAAACTTCTCAGACTCTTTTTTTTTGTAAACATACCAAGATTTCAAATGTCTCTCAAAAAAAAGAGAAAAAATAATTAAAATGGAATATAGTAGTTACCTGTAATGATTATATCACCTTTGTAATTGAAAGCACAGGAGAATATCTCCTCAGCATGACCCTCTAATATCTGAAGGCAGTGTCCAGTGGCAGCATCCCAGAGTCGAGCAGTTTTATCAGAGCTGGCTGTTAGTATACGATTGCCTTTAGGGCTGAAACATATCTTTAAAAAAATATAGAAAAGAGTTCTATTGCTTAGCAAGTCAGTATGCCTAGGAAAGGAAGCATATCTCATGATTAAAAGATGAAACCCACAACTCCTGCATTCAGCTTTCCAGCTAAAATGAAGGATAGTATTCCACTAGTCACCCCAGCAGATCTGGTAGAAACCTAGAATAAGGGCAATGGTAAAAGTCCCAGGAGCAATAGCCTTAAGATGTCATAAAGAAACTAAAAAACTTGTACTTATTCTGTCAGGGAACCTGAGGACTCCAAGGGCGTAATAACACAAGCACAGCATGGGAACATGTGGACAGCAGCCCCCTTTCTGCTCCCCTGTTCTCCACCAAGCGATGGCAGAACCCTAAGCTGTACACTGTTCATAAAAAGGGAAGAGGTGAGGAAACACAATCATTTCAATGTTAACAGAGCCAGATATCTACCCCTGGGAGGGCTGGACTTCTTAAGTAGCTTGATAACTACCACGATTCTAGGGAATTAAATGCTAAACAACCCAGCACTAGGGAGAGATGGCCCTTCTGGAGCCTACTGGGGCAGCACACCCCGTGCTGTCCTAGCTCAGAAGTGGAGAGCTGGAAACAATCACTGGCTGGCAGCTTTGAGTTGAAAGGAATGTTCTTTTAGTAAAGGCAACTTCTTATCCAGACTTCTCAATCTTAATTATTAATGATTTTATCACTGCGCTCTTTAACGCTACGCCTGTGTCATGGAACAACTGGCTGGTTGGATGCCACATGTAATCCAATAAGCAAAGGTGCAAATCACAAACTTACCTTTGAAATTTCACCTCCGTGCCCTTCTAGCTTTGCAATGCACTGTTTTGTTTCTGCATTATAGACTCTTGCTGATCCTGTTGCAGTAGATGAGGAGCCATGTGATTGCCACGATTAAGCACACATTTCAAGAAGAATATTTTAATAAGGGCGGAAGGACCTCATCCTCAGGTTTGATTTCAGAACCAGAAGACAATCTTAACACAGTTTGCCCCAAGGATAAAGTATGTCAAAAAGGATCTGTAATCTGGTTGGAAAAGGTTGACCTCTGTTCTGGTTTGAGCTGGTTTCTTCTGCAAAACTTCTAAAATGTGGACACAAATGTCCAAACAGAACACGGAGTACCGAGGTCTGTAATTTCAGAACATGTGTACAACATATTCAGAAAGCTTTCACTGTATTTCAGATATTTATTCTATTTAATAAGCTGTTAATTATATTTAATAAGGTATCGATTACATTTTGGGAAAGTGTTTACATTGTCTTCTATCTTAGTTTAACAGCTACAGCAAATCAGACCCAAACAGTGACCCACATCCAGCCTGGTATCCTGTTTCCGAAAACGCAAAGCAAAACACCTAAGTATATAAAAATAATATGGTATTCTCATTATGTGCTATAACCTAGCACTGTGTAGGTGAATACAAAAAAGTATTTACTGTGATTCCTTAAAAAAAATAGCTAGCATGCAAAACTGCTGCACACAAATAACTGCTGCTTTCACTGGCTCTTTATTGTGTATTCTCTTGCTGCGCACTATTAAAATTCCACGTACCTTTTTCATTTAAGCCTAAATTTGAGCCACCCAAATCAAACTTCACTCAAAGGCTGCTTGCTTAAGCATTTAAAATGCATTGCCAGCCACAATGAACTATTTCCCTGCAAGTTTGAAGTTAAAGGGGAAAGGCATGTTGAGTTGATTAAAATGTGAAAAATGAGAAAATTTTCTCTGAGGAAAACTTAAGTTCGATGCCAAACTCTGTAACGCAACAAACATTGCGTGATCCATAGCTTCAAGACAAGATACTCTTCCTTCATCAAGCTAAATCCAAAGCAAAACCAAAGGAAAAGGCCAAAGTTGTTTTGTGCTCCTACTGTGCAGCCTCTGTCCCTTCGCTTACCGTCGGCGGAGGCGGTAGCGATGCGCTGGCCCACATAATCGAAGCAGACATCCAATATCTCATCACTGTGACCTGTTAAAGTTGCTATCTGTGTCCCAGTCACGGCATTCCACAGCTGTGTAGATAAAGGGTCATTTTTTTTTGCTTATTTTGACTAATTTACTTGGTAGATATCTAGTTGATCCATAAAGCCACATGTATAGGCCTTTGCTGATGTCTGACAATGTATTAACATGAAACCGGGGTACAAATCAATAGAGGCATGGTTTAGTAGGCTTGATTTAGTCCTATATATTTTTTATTTCAGTGTACTGATTAAATGAGCCTTAAAATAGCCATTGTGATTTAACTGGACTTCACTGAAATGACTAAGTTTAGAAGTTTTGCATTTACTTGTAAATTCTTTAATCAATTACGTGTACAAGTTCAAAATAAGGCTCTTCCATTTCCAAACCCACATTTTTCTATATCCCACAGCTGTATTCGGTACATGCTCAGCTGTCTTACCATCGCTGTTCTGTCCATTGATCCACTGACAATGAGAGAACAGTCCCAGTTGAACTGTGCACTGCTGATCTCTCCTCGGTGACCTACTAAAGTATGTAACATTCTACAAAGAAGAGATTTTACATTTTTAGTGTGTTTTTTGATATACGCATATAAATGATAAGTACGTTTCAAAAACAGTGTAGTTAAGGAGTCAAGTCTTCACCATTTTATCCCTCAAAGAAATTAAATGCAGTGGTACAGCTCATTTAGGATTCTGGTACTACATCAATTCCGTTTCTTATCTTTGAGGCAGTAAGGAATAAAACGGAGAAGTCCTCCCTTCTCTTTCAGAAATATTTTAGTGACTGTATTTCCGATGAAACGTGATGACTTTTCCAGTGCCAGAGACAGACTTCTTGTATGCATCTACCTACCAAGCACCCGCCGAAAGTTTTTCCACATTGCTCTCCCATTATACTACTTCAGCAAACTGTAAACAGTACATCTGTGAAACTCCACACAACCTAAACCTTTTACAAAACCCACTGAAGATCAAATGAACCCTAATCAGCTACTTAGTGTGAGCACGTTCCCAAGTAGCAGGCAAACGACAGCCAAACTGAAATATGACTTCTAATCCTCATTAATCCTAAACCTCCTGCCACACACGACTGGCAATACTAGTTCCATTAAATTCTGCAGTTTGAGCTCAGAGAGGCTACAATTAACCATTATTGCTTCCGATGAATTAATGGCCTAGAAAGAAACGAACCCTGAGAAAGATTAATTTGTAGAGATATTTTAAAGGATTAGTAAATTAGGTTATTATCCCAATGCTAATATCACTGTATCATTAATAGAAAGCTGCTTTAACTAATGGATAGACTAACAACTAGAAAAACAAGCAAATGAGTTTAAGTGACTGAAATGTTTTTATTCATTGCATAAGACATATACGGCTAACTAAATTAATATATATGCTAAATGAACAGCAAAACAAATCTGAGCAATTGAATTTTCTATTTGTTTATGACAACAAAAACTTGCTTATATTCATGTCATTTTATAGAATTGCTTCTTTTACTTTCTAAGGATGTGTGGCCTGCGCTGTCATAACCGTGCAGACCTTTTTACAGTAAAAACAAAAACAAACAGAAAAAAACATGCAAAACTTCTTAATTGTGTGAACAGGTTATTTGGCCTTCAAGACTGCTGTTATTGTAGTACTCAATATCCAAAATGCCTAGTCAAAATCAGTTTTAATTTAAAAGCTTTAATTTCCAAATTTTGAAAATGTAGTCCACATTTCAGTACCCAATCAATAAGCAGAATAAATAGCACCATGCAGAATGTCTCACAGAAACCACCATCAGACACGCAATTAGAAAGAACCCAGAAAATGGGCTTGTTAAGTGCCATAAGAATTTTCCTTTAAAATTATTTTAATTTTTTTTAAAATTAGCTTCAGTCATTATAATACTTCTTTAGCCTTCAGTTTCCAGTGAAGTTTAATATAGATGCTCTAATATTTGCACTATAATTGCAAATAAGAAGAAACTGTTTCTCTCTCAGCATCCTCGTGCCCAGCAGACGTGACAAAAAACATACACAAAAGCATTTCCTGAGCATCATTCCTTTTCAGAACAACGGGAACAGAAGTAACAAATTATTAGATGAAGCAACACATAGTCTAAACAAAGCAAAAACTCAAGGTCTGAGATTTGTAGCTTAGCACCATCTCCTTCATCTGTCATTACAACACACGATGTAAAATGATCTTTGTTAGTGCTTTAGTACCTGCCAGTGCCAACATCCCACACTGCTACTGTGTGGTCGAAGGAGCCAGTGATAATCCTATCTCCAGTGGTGTTGAAAGACAAGGCAACAATTTCTCCCGAGTGCCCCTGAGAGAATTTTAAAAAAGCACTATGAGAATGCAAATTACGAGAATGCAAGTTCTCAGAGTCACTTTATGATAATGCAGAGGAGGTCATAATTTATAGTACAGCAACATGTTTCAGGGAGCAATGGAAGGTATTACAATCTATAGCCGTAATGTCACTGAAATGAGAAAATCTGTCCTTTCGTAAGTAGGGCTTCTTACAAAACACCGTAGTTTTACCGCTCTGGTTTATAACTGCAGCCACTGTGGGACTACCTGGTACAAGAAACTGCAAGTCTGGAAAGTGTTCTAACAGTTACACTGGTATTTATCTCAAATAGAAAACTAAGAAAGGAAGCCTTTAACAACATCAGGAGGGCAAACATACACTTAAAGTGACCATCTCTTCTCCTTTCTCTATATCCCATAATTTGGCAGTGCCATCCATGCTTCCAGTCGCCACCAACGTGCTCTGAGGATTAAATGATAAACATACCTGTAGCAAGAAACATCATATGGAAAAAATGAGAAAGGGGAGTATTCATATGCATTTTTCTGAAAAACCTTGGGTCAGGATTAGTGTTTTTAAACTAGGCAAAACCACCACAGAATCATAAAATCACAGGGTGGCTTGGGTCAGAAGGGACCTTTAAACATCATCTCATTTCAACTGCCTGCCACGGGCAGGGACAACTCCCACTGGGCCAGGTTGCTCAAAGCCCCATCCAACCTGGCCTGGAACCCTTAGGAACTGTCAGACTATCTTCTCCTGCAGTGCAGAAATGTTCACAGTGTCTGAACGTGTCAAGAGGTGCAGCACAACAGCTGCTCCTTCCAGCATCAGCCCACATGGGACTTGGAACCCACAGCCGTCAACGATGGTGTGAGGGGACATAAAGAGCTGTCCATCAGTACTCACTATTTCTGCACTGTGTCCTCTGAAAGTATGGTAACATTTTCCTGTTTCCGTGCTCCACAGTTTGCAGGTTTTGTCGAAAGATCCAGTGGCAATCTTGTCACTAAATGGAAAAAAATGTTGCCATTTTTATTTAGAAAAAAACCTCTGGCTTGTAAGACAGCAGAACTCACAGCAGCAATAGTCAGCGGTCGGGGCTTGCATGCCTTCTGGTGCGTTCCGCTGCCCTGCAAGATCCCAGAGTAGGATTTCACACGCAGAAGTTACATGAAGGGAAAGGATTAGTGTCATAGTTGGCTGCTCACAGAGCCGCTGTGCCTACCTATCCGCACAGAAGTGTTCCTCGTTACTGACTAACCCCTGTTAGTGACAAAGTTACCTGCGGTACTTCCAGACGTGTTTAGAAGTTATATCATTTCATCAGCGTCTGTTTACAGACAGTCATGGACTCTTTCTACAAGCAGTTTACCCAAATTTCAGAGGCTGAACTCCACTCTCACTGAAGTCAGTGGATGTGCTGTGACTAACCGCAGTTAGAGTAAGGCTGAAGTGAGGTACCCGGGAATCGTAGCAAGGGACTCTTTACTGAAACCTAAAGACTAGCAGGAAAAATCCTATTCACTTTATACTGAACTTTGAATTTAAAAGTATCTCATCAGGTTTTCGCTCACTGTATATTGCTTCTCCACTTTTATGTTACAGTTCAGTTATTGATCTTCACACTGATTTTTGTCTTACATTGGTTTCTTCAAAGTAGGTAAAAGCTTTTTTGAAGGAAGGAATAATATCAGAATATAAGACATCGAGGCAGCAGAATCTAGGTGAGGTGAAGTCTTTTCATTTAGAAGAAAATGATGCTCCAAATAGCATAAGAACAAGTCTTTAACACTTCTTTCCTGATGTTAACTATGTGTAGCTTAACCAATAAATAGGACACTTGACAGTGAAAGATGTAATGTGACTCAATATAAAAATAGGAACTAATTTCTCTCACTTTGCAGAGAAACAAAATGCTTTACTTACATAGGACAGCTTTCTCAGGAAGCAGCTGACCATGGAAAATCAGTAGCTAACATGTACTTCCCTTTGCCTAGCACATGACAACCCTAACCTCGGGCAAACCATTATTGCAGAAAACAAAATATGAACAGCTTCATATTTGACATTAATGTAGCGGCACCCTGTGGGATTTATAAAAATTATTCAGCAGCTGTGACTCTTCTAAGTCATGTTCTAAATAAAAATAGCTGTGTAATACCAAGTGGAGAAATTCACTTTTTTATGAGAGAAATGTTCTTTCTCTTTAACTGAAGCAGCATAAGCTGTGGCACTTCTACCTCACCTGGAGGCAGTAAAGAATGATTAACATCCAGAACATGTAGGGATTACTGAAATAAAGCTGTGTTTCAATATATTACACTAATTAATATGTGTATTTTTTCAAGTCACAGAATACCTAGTGAAATTCCTGCTCTGAATTTCTAAATTTCATTTTAAAAAATTATAGCAGGAAACATGCTTGAGTGAACTTTACAAATTCAGAATTTGAACACTTTCAGTTTGAGTTTGTCTTATGTTAAAGTTTGAGAAACAGTTCTGTATTTGCAAAAATAACATGATCAGCAGTTATGATGTATCTCAGAAAATCTAGTTACCCATAGGGATTATTGAAAGCTATTGCATAGACGACGTTTCTGTGTCCCTCCAGCACGTGCAGCTCCTCTCCTGACATAGTATCCCATACTTTGCAGGTTCTGTCATAGCTTCCAGTGATAAAGCTAAAGTAAAGAGAAATTAACTTCTGAATTCAATGAAAATTTTACTGGTCCCGGTGCACAGTCAAATGAGTCATTTCCACATATTTCAGTTAGCACTGTCTCAAACCCTAAATCTCTGCTTTCTTTCAAAAATACAGATTAATGACCATAGAGGTTCCTTTTTTATTTGTTTTAAATATTATTCATTTAAAAAGACCTTGTTTCTAATATCTAATGTATTGAAATACATTAAATATTAGAAACAAGATTTTTGCTTTTTTTTTTCTTAGTTGAAACTAGAAAGCAAGCTGCTGCTTTCGGGACAGTAAAGAAGAAGTTATTAGGCATATGCCCACAGCGAAATCAATTAACACTAAGTTCCGCTACAGCAAAAGTCCCAAATGGATTTATGTCAAAGACTCATTTTGCTTTTAGTAACATTCACTTTATTTCCATAAAGGTTCTTCTTTATGAAATATGGTAATTGTCAAGAATCTATCACCCTGGAAGAAAAAAATTACAGTTGAATCCCACCTGCTACTTCTTTGCATCTCCCTTTGGTTCTCCCACAGAGGCCTGAAGCCACTTACGCTTGAAGGGGCTTATAAGCAGCACAGCTGAATTCTTTTTGCAGCAAGATAAGAGCACTGAAATTCCCTTACAATTTAATTTACAAATACAAAACTCCAGTCAGTGATTACGTGTTTTGACTTTGACAACAACTTACCAGGAACCAGATTTGTTGAATGCTACATTAGTCAGTGGCAATATATGTGCTCTAAGTACCTGAAGTAGAAGCGGAGGAGGGAGAAGAAAACAACATTTGATGCAATAATACATAAAAAAACCCCACAAAACCCAATTGCTCAAAATACTCAACAGGTTAGTATTTTCTCCTCCTCCTATCAGATTAGTAGATACAGCTGTAATACATTAATCCCCAGCTAAAAATCCCCTGTGCCTCAGCAGGGCGTCACTGCAGATATTACATAGGATTGATTCCAAGTGTATGTTTTGCTTGAATTAACTGTCTTTCCCCCATGTCTGCTTTTTTTCTTCTCCATGTTCTCTGAGACCAGCAAAGTAACCCCAGCCCAGGGCCAAAAGGGAAAAAATAAATGAGTGAGGAGTGGGTGCCTGGTGAGATCAGTGATGAAAGCAATCCCAGCTAATATTAAGTGGTAGAGAGGGAACCAAGAGATCCAGCTGAAGGGAGTACATTGACTCTTTCAGGTTATGGGATGCTTTCAGCTAGACCATGATTTTGTTTTTAAAAACAGGAAGAACAGAAATAAGCTCCATCTATGTTTTATGAAGTCATGACAAAAAAAGGCATGTAGGACCATAACAAAGCTACTGACCAAGAGAAAACTCGAAGAGGGAATTTCAGATTTGATGTCGCCTGTATTGTGTAGGTTATGGAGCTCATTGTTTCTCCAACATTGCTACTAAGTTTCTTTAATCCGAAGGTAAATGTTTCACATAAATTAACTCACAGCCATAACAGTACTTGTTAAGGTTTATTAAAAGCAGGTGAAAATAGTTTCAGCTACTGACAAAATCAGCATGCCACCATACTTGGAAAATGACCCAAAAAAGATACAATCTGTTGGTGTCTGAATACGCTGGTTACTGTCTCACAGCGTTTGCATTGAACAACTTTCACCTGTTAGGAGCTGGCTTCTGCTCGAGTCTGAAGCATAATAAAAACCGTAACCTGGGAAATCCCAGCAACTGCTGGCAGTGAAGTACAGGGATGTTACAAGTCCAGCAGTGCTTCACCAGGTCTTCTGTGCGGCATAAGAATGAAGAAACATGATGTAGGAGCAGTGCCATTTAATCACTGACACGTGATTCAGCTGAGCTTCGACTTTTTGTTCTTATCTCCAGCTTTCTCAGCCGCCTGTCTCCAAACGGAAAATGAAAGGAGCTCAGAGATCTCCACTCAGAAGAGTAGGCACTGATCAAAATGGAAATAACAATGGTCAAGTGAAGGAATGTGAGACAGAGAAACAGAAAATGTGTTTTATGCTAAAAAAAGGGCAATTTCTGTTCTCTAGAGAAAGTGAGACAAGTTGTACTTCCAGCTACAGCACTGGGAATGGGCAATCAAGTGTGAAAATGACAAAATTTTTTTTTTTTTTTTAAGCAGCCACAGTATACAAATATCTGCATATGAGAATATGAGAATAGATAATTATGGAAATTTATGGAAATTTGATCCATGGCACTTTTAGGGCTCCTTGCAGTCAGCTCTGAACAACAAATATATTTAATGATTATGAAGACAAGTGAGGAAAACGAGATGGGCTTATGTTTGGTTTCAGATCATGGGACTCATTCTGCTCTTCCAAGGCTCAGTGCTGCAGTTGCTTCACTTACACAACTCTTAGCCAGCAAAACTGCTTGAGCAGTTTTACAATAGTAAAACCCTAAGGTAATATTAAAAAAACACAACTGCAAAATCTGCTACAGCAGTCCCTAAGACAAATATCTGCAAGTGACTACAGCTCCCCATTGCCATGTACCAGTTTACAACCTGAAAAATTTGTACAAAAGCTTGTTTCTCTGCTGGGTATCTAACACTGCACTGTCACCACAATTAGTAGAAATAACAACAAGATGGGCTTATACACTCGTTTGAGATCATGCTCTAGTGCAACAGGTGAAAAGATTCATTTCCAAACAATGTAAACCCATGGAATGTTTTTTCCTGAGGGGAAAAAAAAAAATCTCATTCCCACACACCTCCTGTATTTTATTAGTATCTCAGAAGCGCCTGATACTCGTGTTTTATTTACAAGCCTTAAATGGAACTGAAACATGAAACAAACTCTCTTCACACACTTCTAACTATTCTTGAGGCAAGGGAATAAGCCAGCACGGATCAGATCTCCCTGCCTCTCGTACTTCCAAAAATACAGGCTCAAAGGTGGCACTACTCCCAGCAAAGAGCAAATACGCTATTTGCGCTGAAATTTGAACAAGCACTTGACAATTTGTCAGTCTCTGTGAGGAACAATTTTAAAAGCTGTGAAAAGCAAGGCATTATCTCGATTGAGAGCACACCCTAAACCAGGACAGACACTTTTTAAATTTAAGATGCATCATTACATAGCTCTGTTTTCAAGGTTCAATACACAGGTCTGCAGAATTCACCCAGATGTGTACTCTTGGTCAGAAGAACTGAAGTCACACGTAGCAACACCCTTGGCTTCTTTTAGCCAAACAAACCAACACAAAACTCCCTTTCCTCTCGAAATTTGAGGTAACAACGTAGCCCTGACCAGCGACTTCTAACAGCTACACATTGCCATCTGCTGACACAGTAACGATACATCACTTAATTATGTCGGATCGCAACATGCAGTCTCTGGAAGTAATCTTATTTTCATTTCCACAACTAAATGCAATTAAACCTATTATCTTCTGATAGACTGAATCCTGGATCTGAAGCCCTGAAAGGTCCCTCTAATTATTGTTCTTAAAAAGCTTACTCATTTAAAAAATTTTTTAAAGTGCTGCCTGTAAGCTGAAGATCAAACTATTAATATTCAAATATAATAGAAGTGGCAGAAAGTAAGGACAATCAGTACTACTGTATGTAGCAGAATACATAAAGCCCTCATAATTTTCCCAAAATTCAGAACAAGTAGACACGGGTATGAAAACATTTTGGGCCTTTCCTAACAGCAAATTTACTTAGGGTCCATTTAGAGGGTTTGTTTAACCAGAATCACGAGTGTTGCTGGTCCACAGAGTCTTGTTTGACAAATAAGAGAATTATTTCTCTCCATCCAAAACACACCCTTATAAAACTGTGTAAACAGCGTCAAGGAACAGCTACACCTCCCAGCCTTTTGGGGAATTCCTGGCAGACACAACCAGGCAAGACTCAGTCGCTCCAAACAGTGTAGAAGCAATGGAAAAGAGCCAAGAAATTGTTCACAAAATCAAAATTTTGCACTCAGACACAACATGCAGCAGTAAAAACATACTCACAACATCACACTGAAACTTGCCAAAATGCCCACAATTATTTTAAAGATACCTCTGACCTTAAAAAGATGGAATTTGTGATCCTCTTTTTCCCCTAGCTTCTCCTGCAGTCTTTGTACTACGTGTATGACGTGTTCCTTGCATGAAGTGGTGACAAGAGGTTCTGCTTTCTGAATTTCTTCTACTAAGGCTATGACATCTGTGCTAATTAAGAGGAAAAAAACCCAAACAGTAAAAATAACAAGACCCCAAACCCACCAGATTACATTCTCGGGAAATAATAATGAATACAAACCCAACACCACTATTTACTTGCTTTATACAGGCATCTTGATAATCCTATCTGTATAAGCAAAAAGAGGCTTCACTTCTGAACAGAAAAGCATGATAATAATAACCAGCTGGAATGCAAGATTCTGTATTTAAGAGAGCAGGAGAATAATTGTTTTCTTTTCTGTGTGTTTTAGTGAACAAAGCTGGTCACAATTGTGTTTAAAACAAGCAAACAGAGCCATAGATGAGCATGCTATAAACCAGCAGAGAGTGCTGTTATCTGAAACAATATCATACTTACTCAGGCCTAAGATCAAGTAGATCTATAGATCTGGTCTTTGGCTTATCACCTTGTACATATTCCAGAATAATTCCTTTAAAGAAAAAAAAAAAGACAAACCAGTGAAAAAAAGGTCTTAATTAGATGTCTGAGATACTACAACACGCAGTGTAGACAGCAATGCTTCCACTTTTACTGCACGACTGACTTCAGCAGACCTGCTTCCAGCTCGGGGAACGAGGAGGTTTGGCCATTCTTGCTGAGAGTCAGCAGGGTGATGAACAACTCTAATGTGCTTATATGATATAAGATATTAATAATTATTGTTGTTATTATTGTTATTATTATTATTAATGAGCTATTTTCCATTCTGCAAACAACAGGCTTCCCCCCCCCCCCCCCCCCATCTTTTTGCATTATTTCATCATCTCTATTTTCAAAGAGGCTGTCCTGAAGATACTTGCTGTAGTTTGGTGTTCCAAGAACCCTGGGCAAAAAATGTTTTATTTATTTCAGAGTTCGCAAAGGCCTGTATGCAGTAACGTATAGAAAATCATAATACACTTTCCATTTCTAGGTATGCTCCAGCACCTCCGCACTTTCTACTGAGCTGAAGTATTAAAATGTTTAACCACATTGCTTCCTGTTTTGTTAAAGAGTTCTGCTGCTCCTTGCTTTACTGTGGGGAAGGATGATTTAGCTGAGTTTTTAGGTCCCGTTACACTTTACCAAGTCTGTAAGGGAAGTGTTTAATTTGAGAGAAAGACCCGTGATTGCCGTACACCTCCCAAATCACCTCCATCCTGCTTCACTTGTGAAAATTCCTGAGTTTGTGATGACCAAGATGGCTTAGCAGCACAGCTTTGCAAAACATGGATCTGCTTAGAAAATTCACAGAGAAAAAAATAAAATCAAAAATCCCAAATGTGGCGAATTGTAGCTAAACGCACATACATTTTTTTGTTTTCAGTGCCCTCGCTGGTGATTTTACAGACTCCTCACCGCAATGTAGAATTAGACCGCCTTGATTTGTGGGGGATAAGTCATTAATTACAGTCCCGGGGGCGAAGAAATTCGTTAATTGCCCGCCAGAACACCCCCCGCCCAGCCCGCCCTCACGCACAGA